TCTTTCAATAATCTGTCAATAATCTTTCAATAATCTTTCAATAGTCTTTCAATAATCTTTCAATAATCTGTCAATAATCTTTCAATAATCTTTCAATAATCTTTCAATAATCTTTCAATAGTCTTTCAATAATCTTTCAATAGTCTTTCAATAGTCTTTCAATAATCTTTCAATAGTCTTTCAATAATCTTTCAATAAGGCCCTGGGTGCAGCGTATCTTCTGGGTGACTCTCTCACGGTGGAATACGTTCTGGGTGTGTTAGTGGTGCTGCAGGTGCACCCAGCTCAGTGACATAAATACTAGAATATACGTCATTGGTCCAGCTCTTCTTGAAGGCGGGGCCTAACGTCACCTGTCCACTCTGCAGTGATTCACTGGACCAGCTCCTCTCATCATTAGTTACTTTCATCATTAGTTACTTTCATCATTAGTTACTTTCATCATTAGTTACTTTCAAAGTAACGAACAAATCAAAAAGCTGCAACATGAATGTCACTTGTAATACAACACGTTATAGAAATGTAGTGTAGTAGAAAGTACAGATACTTGATGTAAAATATAGTGGAGTAAAAGTATAAAGTACCCACATTTAACTCTACTTAAGTAAAGTACAGATACATGAAAAATGTACTTAAGTACAGTAACAAAGTATTTGTACTTAGTTACATCACACCACTGTAAAGAAATAATGAATTAAATTTGTAACACACTCTTGATTAACAACAATCTAAAGTGCTAAGTGAGTTTAGCCTTTAGCTTCTGCTCTTTTCAAAGGTCTGTGTGATGTCATCATCGTAAGTTTATGAACTGATGACATTAGTTCTCTGTGTTTACCATCACACCTGAAACACCCAGCTGGAGCAGGGGGAACTGTGGAGGCACCTGGGGGCAGTTAGGGATTGGGAGTCATGATCAGAGGCACCACAGCATGTGGGCATGGCTGGGAGTTGAACCTGCAGCTTTCTGGTCCCAAGTTGGCTGCCCTGCCTCTAAACCATTTTGACCCCTTTTATTTTTTAGCTAATGTCCTTTTCCTTTTAACGTTTAGCTACTGTGCTGCTCCTTTTAGCTTTTAGCTAGTGTTGTGCTGCTTTCAGCCTTCAGCTAATATGGCTCAATAGCTCCATGACTCCATGGATCCATGACTCCATGACTCCATGACTCCATGGCTCCATGACTCCATGACTCCATGACTCCATGAATCCATGACTCCATGACTCCATGACTCCATGACTCCATGACTCCATGGCTCCATGACTCCATGGCTCCATGACTCCATGACTCCATGGCTCCATGACTCCATGACTCCATGACTCCATGACTCCATGACTCCATGGCTCCATGACTCCATGACTCCATGACTCCATGGCAGCAGAGGTTTCAACACTGGACTCATGATTTCCATCTCATGATTGTAAACATGTTCTGTCACTATAATTTATAATTGTCAGATAATTTACATTTCTTGTTTCTGTCAGAGCTGTCGGTTCTGTTCTCCTGGTCTGTGGGTCCCGAACCGGACTAGTTTTCTTGTTGTCTTGCTGGTTTGTTTGGACCCTGAGACTGATTCACATGAAAAACTTCTTGTGTGGAGAGATGAACGGTTTGACCCCAGAACTTCTTTTATTTTAATGTCACTGCATCAACAAACAAACAAACAAACAAACAAACAAACAAACAAACATGATCGTTTATCATCAACAACAACAATTAAAAAAACAAACTGTGATTGGTTCAGCTCTGACGGGTCACGCGGCTGTGACGTCAGCAGCAGCGCGGGGCGGCGGTCGGTCAGATCTTGCAGCGCAGTCTGACCGAACCGGGACGAGTCGCTGCCGGTACTGGACCGACCCGATCCATCCGGACAGGAAACCGGGTTCTGGTTCTGGTTGTGAGGCGGAGCCGGCGAGTTAACGTCAGGGAGGAGTTCGGCTGGGTCCGGATCAGCTGTCATCACAGGTATGGACCGGATCATGGGTTCCGCAGGAGGTTAGTCCGTTCCGAACTTTCAAATCGAACCGGTTTGAAATTTAAATAAATAAACAAACAAACAGGAATGAAGAGAACAGAACCAGGAGTTCTGATCAATCCAATCAATCCAATCAATCCAATCAATCCAATCAATCAATCAATCAATCAATCAATCAATCAATCAATCAATCAGCTATAGGTCTGTCACCTTCCGGTAAATTTGTTTTATTTATTTGAGAAAGATAAAAAAATAATTGAACATTCCTCCGGGCTCCTTTGTGTTTATTTTTGTTTGTTTGTTTGTTTGTCCCTGAGATGTTGAGTTGATCAATAATTATTGATTATTGACTCTCGAGTTCTTTTTCTAATTATTTTTAATTTCATGCTTTCATGATTTTTGTCTTACAAGAAAATACGTGAAAGAATTTTGATCAGAAATTCCTAAATAAAAACACAAACAAATAAACAAATAACTAAATAAATAAACAAACAAGTGTTAAAATGTACAATAAGTCAACAAAGGGAAACAGGAAGTTGGTTCAGAGCGGTTCTTTCTTCTTGCTCAGCCACGCGTGGATAATAAAGTCCTGACCGCTGGACCGGAAGGAGCCGCTTCACTGAGCCGTCAGGGTCCAGAACCACGAGGTTCTGAGCGCAGACCGGACTGATCTGGTCCAGAACCGCAAGGTTCTGAACTCAGACTGGGTCGATCCGGTGCAGAACCACGAGGCTCTGAGCTCGGACCGGGTTGATCCAGTCTAAAGATGTCCAGATGTAGATAGAACCAGACAGTCAGACCGTCTGACCCAGTTTCTCGTCTCTTCACCTCCCAGGGCTCCTGCTGCTCCTTAATGAATCATGTCCTCCTCCTCCTCCTCCTCCTCCTCCTCCTCCTCCTCGGAGCGGCCCTACTTCTGTCCTCGATGTGGAGATGGACCTGGCTTCTCGTCCTTATCTGAGCTCCGGGCTCACCTGGTTAGCCAACACACCTATGAGACCCTGCTTGTCCTGTCTCAGGTGAGTTTCACTGTCAGGACCGGAAAGTTTGTTGAAACCGGTTTGAATCTGGTTTAAATGTTTCACGTCTGAACAGAAACAAGTTTACATGAAGAAACATCTGATGAGAAAACGAACATCAGTTGTAGAATCAAGCGTTTTATTTCAGGTGATTCTGACTTCCATGCTGGCGTAAGAAGTAACATCGAGGAGTAACATCGAGGAGTAACATCGAGGAGTAACATCGAGGAGAAACATCAAGGAGAAACATCAAGGAGAAACATCGAGGAGAAACATCGAGGAGAAACATCGAGGAGTAACATCGAGGAGTAACATTGAGGAGAAACATCGAGGAGAAACATCGAGGAGAAACATCGAGGAGAAA